ATGAAATGAAAGTAACATGACAGAACGAGTATGTACGCCCAATAAATACTTTTATAGTTTTAATGTGCATTCAAAGGACCCTGTTTGTTAAATTGATAGAAATGAATAGTTTTATTATCGGAAAAAACTGAGAAATATCTACCCGATTCGCCAGAATAGTCATCATCATATCAGTGCGAAAAATTAGCTATATTTATTTTCATGCCATTAAAAGTACATTTTTGAACAAAAGTATCAACTTATATTACACTGCACGCAAATACAAAGTGAAAAGAACGTCTTCCCGGAGATTGAAATACGGATCGGTAAGTCAACAAATCTAACTGTTAAATAAACAAGCTTAGCCTATGTCTGCGATTGTTTGTCTGATTGGCCAGATGTTATCCGTTTCGGATAATAAATTTCTGAGAATACTACTGATATCTAGAATACATCCTTCGTGATATTTTTCATAAAACTACCCTTTGCATTCGTTTGACTTCACTTCTTAAAAGAGAGCTTCGTCTTAGTGTATACGTAGTTTAACTAGACTCTGCACGCAGGGTATCATAAAACAGGCATCTTAGCTGCAATTTTGAATAATAGCGTAATTCATAGTACAATATAAATTAACCCGCCTCTGTTTAATTCAAATATGCATTACCCTTAAGATTTATATACTTAGACACCTTTTCATTCTTGATTCGGATTTTTATCTTGTCTTCATCTAAATCTGTGGATTAATAACAGTTTTTAGTATACAAATTGAACATATAAAATGTAGCGTATTGATTACACGTTACAGTGGCGTAGCCAGCTTTCAGTCGGGGGGGGGGGGGGAAGGGGTGTGATCGTGGCATTAAAAATGTTTTTGAAGATTTGTTTTGAATTTTACAAAAATTGGTGCAACTTCGTTCAAAATCGAGCTAGAAGCTTCAAAAAAAAGCATTTTAACACTTTTCTCTTCTATCTAATGGTTCTATTTTCATTGGTTATGGAGGGGGGGGGGGGTGCGATCGCATCCCATCGCATCCCCCTGGCTACGCCTATGCGCTATATTAATATAACAAGGTTATCAATATCATGCCAATAGTTACCCTGCATGCAGAGTCTACATGTAGTTAAACTACAAGACGAAGACGAAGCTCTATTTTAAGAAGTGAAGTCAAACGAATGCAAAGGGTAGCCAATAGTTAGATGGTTAACTAATATTAACACAAAATAATAATACACGATAATCAAAAAAATAAACCTCGGTATTCGGGCCTAAAATCCAAGGATACGTGTACCATTACTTAAGTGTAAGCTGCAATACCATATCGGATACCTGTACCATTACTCAATAATAACCACTAGTAAGACCATAATAACAAGCTTAATAACCATCTTATTGCAATTTATTCCATACGATTTTGTCTTGTGTTAGTGTTGATTATTTACAGGGTGAGAGACTTAATTCTCTCTTGGTACATCTGATATATTGTCCTTGCAATCAGGACACAATCATCAAAACAACTGGGCGCAAACAAAGCTGACATAATTTCCAGATTTTCCAATAAATATGGTCGAATCGAACCCCTTAAATGTTCAATCATTTCACATTCTTTTATAAAATGAGTCAAGGTGTCAGGTGAGTTGCACATTGGACAAACTCTATTTACATGTGGTTCTGTGTAACGCCCAACACCTTCACCTACTAGGAGACGTATCATCAACTTGCATTTATATATCATTTCTGGCTTATATTTGCACAATTGGTACCATATAATAGGTGATCTGATAGTGACCACTTCTCGGTATAGCTTAATTTTGTTGTATGTTAAACATCTTATATGCCATTTATGAGTCGAAAAATTAAGAACAGAGTTTTTGACTATCTTCTTCCAATGATATTTTGATGGAAAGACGCCACTTGTGATATAGCCTCCCATTCTACCTAATAAATCATACTGGATTCCTAGTTTTACAATTTCCCTTATTGGGGAACATATGGACGGTTGGACAAAGAAACTGTACAATATAGAGTACCATCGAAAAATACATAGTTCTTTGCAGTTACCAGCACCTGTATTAAATATGTGCAGGAAGTACATTAGCTTTTTTATTGCAATTATTTCACTTATGTCTGCCCATCCAAGTTGTGCAAGGGAAGCACAATTGGTTGTCTGTTTTGGTAGGGATTGAATTGACTTCGCAGACTGTAAATGTACCCTTTCCAATGTTAAAATATTAGATGGTTTATAAGTTAGAACTTCAGCCCCATAAAGCATTGTAGGTATTGATACTGCCCAGTACAACTTTGAGGCCGGTAAGGGATTAACACAGCAGTTTTCTGGAGTAATACAATCTAAGGTTGTATAAAAATTGCGTCTTGCTTTAGACGTTACATTCTCTATATGATACCCTATATCCCGTTGTGTTACGGGTAAACCAAGGTGAACTAAATCTCTACTTAAAGGTATTTCACTAGTTCCATATTCAAAGGGTTTGTTATCTTTGATCTTGCTCATAGTAAAGTGAACTGCTGTACATTTCCCTGGATGGATCTCAAAACGCCATCTATTTGCATAGTTATAGAGAATGTGCAACATTTCCTGCATATTATTTCTGAACAAGGATATCATTATCGTATCATCTGCATATGAAGGGGCTACACAATCAATACCCATGACTTTACAGCCATATCCAGAATTCTGCAGTTCTATTAATAATGGGTTCATAAACCTTACATACAGCTCCATAGATAGAACCCCACCTTGATGGACCCCCTGATTTACATAAAACATATCACTCATAATACCATTTAGTTTTACACAGCAACGATATCCTACATAAGTTTCAAGTATCATTTTCCACAATTTGCCGTTGATCCCTTGGGTATACAGTAAAAACATCAAGCCATTTATAAACACGGTATCAAAGGCCTTTTTAACGTCAATTGCTAAAACATAAACATCAGAACCATTTTCTAACTGATGGGCCACTGTCTCTCTTAGAACGAGAGATGTATCTAAACACGATGAGCCTATTTGTGCAGCGTATTGAAGTTTTGACCTTTCAATCGGTCCACAGTTTTTGCCACGATTTAAAATAAGCCTATCTAAAATCTTACAAAATGTACACATCAAAGTTATGCCACGATGGTTATCCCTATCTAATATATCTTTATTGCCCCCCTTGTAAAGTGTTATCATAACCCCTATTTTCATACTACTAGGTACATGCTCGCGTATAAACATACAGTTAAACAGCGCAGTTAAAACATCGATGAGTGCCACGCCCCTATGTTTTACATGTTCGGCAGATATACCATCATAACCACAGGCACGTTTGTCATTCAACATGTTTACTGCATTTAAAATTTCCTCGTTATCGAATGGTATATCAAAAGATCCGTCATTATTATTCTTATAGCTCTCTTTCATATCACTGACCCTTCAGTCCACATATTCCTTGAATTCTGCATCAAAATTAGTGTTATATTTAGGAGTGAATAATCTCTCAAAATATCGAGCCCACTCATTTCTAAGCTCTTCAGGTTTTTGTAAAATAGTACCATCATCTGACCTTATGTGTATCGATTGTTTACTGCCCCGTTTGTGTCTATTCGCCAAATACCAATAGTACCTTGCATCTACATCTTGTGACTCGTCTATTTTCTTTTGACAGGAAATGTTATACTGTACCTCAGCTAATCTGAGTGCACGCCTAAAATTACGCTTTGATTCCTTATATTCAAGCCAATGTTCATTATCACCCCGCTGCATACCAGAACACTTCCACTGTCTCCAAAGTTTGTTCTTGTTCTTCATGAGTTCTTTAACTGTGGAATTCCAATAGGGTTTTAATCGTTTATTGTATTTCCGCTTGGGCAAATTATCACTAGACACAGTTTTTAATATATCAGTTATTCCTTGTAAAGTCTGATCAATAATCTCGACATCATATTCCTGCCCTTTCGAATATTCATCAAGATTGGACTTAACCCTTTCAAGAGGACCCCGTACCACTGATGTATAAATCATGTCAATATCACTTTGAGCAATTTTATCCCATGCTATGTGTGCGTCGATCACTTCTCTCTCCGTATTAAGAGAGGGTGGTACTTGATTATTAATATTAATCTTCACAGACATAGCAAGGTGATCAGAAGTATTAAGTATACAATCATCATATGTTATACCTGATTTTATGTGATCTAATAATGCGGCAGATACTACACAATGGTCAATGTACGAACTGCCTGAATAATCCCGGCTAAATGTATAAGAAGGACCTTGCCATATATGACTCAACATGTCTACAGGTATAAGGCCATTCCTCCGTATAAAGTTCATGAAATGTTTCCCATTACGTGTTGGGCACCCATTTCCCCTATCCCCATATAGCGAGTCAATACAGGCGTTTGTATCTCCAAAAATAACAACAGACACACGACTCTTTAAATCGCAAATGCAAATTTCAAGCTCATCTAACACCTCCATGAATCCAACCTTTTGACAGTTTTGCTGTGGTAAATATACGCATACTATAAACAAATGTTGTTCATTATAACATACATCAATAGCACATATTCTGTCTGAATTGGTACACTTCAAATTCACCTTTGAAACAAATTGTTGCATATCGTCCTTAACAAGAATAGCAATACCACCGTGGCCTATTTTATAACTTTTGTCAAAAACATTTAAATCTTTGCTACATTCGAACACCGTGCAGTCAAAATTACTATTTATATCATCCATGACATGTTTTGACCCGCTACATAACCAGTGTTCTTGAATTAATATAATATCATTATTTCCCATAAGTTGCGTCAGATAAGGCTTTGATATCCCTAATCCATTAACATTCCAGGACGCAATATTGAGAAATTCATGATTTACACTGTGATTTTTACCGGGTTGATATTTATTGGTGTGCTTCATAATGGAAAATGTTAAAACTATATACAGGACTATATTTACAATACATAGATAATAGAAGCAAGTACCCATGATCAGTCAACGTTATCATTTTCATACGCATAATAGCGACGCTCACTGTTTACACTATCATATTCTTTTGTAGATCTATAGATGTCATCCTGGTCAAATTCAGAATCAATGAACGGGGCATTATCCCATTTCCGCTTTGACACCCATTCCCTGCATTTAATTGGCGCAGGCCAGGTGCTCTGCAGTTGTGCACGTTGTCCACAAGAAAGTGGTACCACAATTTTATAACCTACACTGTATTGTGACACCCTATTGTGTATTACGTAGCATTGCATGATGCGTATATTGTGATGTTTAGCTTGTTGTATAACTTGCTGCTTAATATCATCGTCACTGTCACTATCATCTTTTTCAATGTTCTCCACGTACAATGTGATTCCTTTTTCACGCTGGACCCCTCTAAGGGATCTACTTGATCTTTTTGGCACTGGTATATCTTTGTCAGATGACTTTGTATTGTTATTTGTCGGTGGTCTCTTTCGACGAACAACATCTGTCCAGAGTTGAGATGGTTCATCTTCCTTGTTTGGATTTGTGCCAATCACGACCTCGATACGACGTTTGTCTTGGTCCCGACGTTTATCTGGTCTGAGCTCTGCATGTTTGGTCGATTTTGTCATCCCACTCTTTTGATGGCTAATACCTGGATTACGCCCTTCCGGTGCCGAGGCATTACGACCCCTTCCACGGCCCCTACCAATGGATGGCAGTGGGAGCTCTGTGAGAGATTGATGTTGTTTATTAGTACCCGTGTTTATGTTTTGGTTTCCACAGTCATCAGCTGTTTTATCACGTTGTTTATCAACAACCGTTGTGTTTGGATTTTCTGGATTACTGGTCGGCTGATCTCCTTGTTTATCAATAAGTGGATTATTTGAGTCTAGACGATCAGCTGCTGGTACAATGGTATGCAATTGCTGGGCAATTAGGACGGGAGAACATACAGTTTGTAATTGACTTACTTTGGTTTCAAGGTCTTTAATCTGCTTGTTTAGAAGGTCAAAATCACTTTTCTGACCCTGCTTCATATTCTGTAGCTCAGTTTTCAGCTCTACATTTGAGGCTGTCAGGATGGCGATTTGCGCTTGATATTCTGCAGCCAACGTTGCTACTCGCTAACACGTCTTTGCTGCATATACGTTCCCTTACTGTGGATCGCTGTAGATCATTCGAACCCCAATTGAAAAAAGCCTATGGAAAATCATCTCCAATTATCACCTAACTTACTATTGATAATTAGTTGAAAGTTAGGTGTAAAAATTCACATGCAAATGAGCTAATTATCAACTTAATTAACGCTTAATTTGCAACTTAATTAACGATTAACTACCATCAATATGCAAATGAGCTATTTACGTAAATTAGTTGAAAGTTAGTTGTAAGTTTGATGTAAGTTAATCTCTAATTATCACCTAACTTACTATTGATAATTAGTTGAAAGTTAGGTTTAAGTCAGATTTGTGACATCTCAAAAATGACTCGCTTCTTTTTTGCTTCCCTTCACTCGGAGATTTTTGCTTCATCTTGAACTATTTTGTGACGGAATATTCATCTTAATTAGGATCTTTCAGAACAGACAACATTGAACTTGAACTATTGAAATTTCACAGCAAGAGGAGGGAAAACCCCATGATTCAATTGATGACATAAGATTTCCTCCTTCGCACACCTCCTTTTGTCGAAAACGTACCCTCCATCTTGGTTTTTTAAGTTTTCAAATTGACCTAGTTTTAAACCAATCAACAATCGACTCGCTAAACCAATCAGCGACGATGCCATCTCAATACAGATTTACATTATAAGCGTATGTCATCTTTGAACCCTGGGGTTTCTCCCCCTCTTTTTTAAAGCTGTTCTATTTTGCAAATTTTTAAGATTCATGAAAAGCATGTGAAAACATCATTATTGCCATCAACAACTAAAATCAGAACACAAACATTAGACTCTAATGTTACATAATAAGGACGTAACAGATAGAATCAAAAATATGCTTTGAAATGTCTTTGATCTAACAATCACTATTTAGAAGAGCACATTTGGATTACTTGTGAAATATAGGTAACCCATGTTAGTACCTAAATTTCATTCTAGGATTAATATTATATGATCTGATTCAAAAAGATTTTTAAATTCATTAACATTTCAGACAGAAGTGTGAATAAGATTTAACATATATTGTATTCATGTTCTACATACCCTTATAATAATGTTGACCAAATTTCATGGTAGTATACGCACCATTCACGTTGTAATTCTCAATTTTATGAGAGAAATATCTCTCACATGTTTTCTTTTTCCACCATCTTGAAATTAAATTTAGGGGGTTTGTATTTCTAAATCATGGGCCTAATTTACAACTAATTATCATTATAATCATCCTATATGTTAACTATCAACCAATAATCTACTTCAGAACAAAAACGTTTTAATTTACCACTTACTATCACCCTCAAACATTTCATTTCTTAATTATCAACTAAAAATCATAAATCAGCATTATTGTAAGTTAATTTACGTTGAACTTGCTACTGATAATTAGGCCATAATTATCATTGATTTAATTAACGCTTAACTTTAATTCCAATTGCCAGCAGAATTGTTAATAATTAGTTGTAAATTAGTTGGTAATAAGTTGGTAATTAGTTTTATTTTTCAATTGGGACGAGACGTAATTTCCTCTGGTAGCACACTAGTAGGAGCTAGAATACTACGTGGAAAGTGATCTGTTAGCCCCATCAGATAAACATACATGTCATATATATCATTAGCGTAACTTATAAGCTTAGTGTCACCTTTCCTGCGTTTGATCTTAAGATCCACCATCTGGTCCTCACCCCTGGCAGTTTGGGGTCCGAAACGGTCCTCACACAAGGTAGAAATAGACTTTTCCACCATAGAAAATTGGTATGATCTAACCTCATACAGCATATCCTCATCATAGTCTATAGATAACTGTTCAACAATTTCGTATCTCGGTGTGCATTCAACAGTTCTAAGCAGGTTATCCATGCACGGGTCGATTTCAAAATCAGACGCCATTTTGAAAATCTAACTGTCACAGAGTGTTGTTATCCATCAATATCCATGATTTAGAAACAAGCTTGAGATTTTGTAGTTGATAGGTCGCTAGAACGTACCTTTATAGTCACTTCAGTACCACCTAGAAGTCTATTTATGTTGTAAATCCTGATGAAAAACGTCAATTACTAGGAGCACCATTCACAATGGTCATTATTGACACAGGCGACATCTATGATTCAAGTTGTTGCAAGTATAGCAATTTGATTGAGATCATTTGATAAACCCAATATGAGATAATTTCTTGTGATATCATATTTTATGCCTTATACCAAATATTAACTTGCAGAAATGTCACATCAAATTCTACATATATTATGTCAGCATCTGTTATATTATAGGTACTTGCAGGACAAGTACAACACAAGGATGTCAGACAGCATCTTGCCTCAGATTAAAGCCATTGTCAGACAGTGCTTCCAAGCTGTAGAACAGGTACGCGGGTTACATTTCAATTTTCAAGGATGCTTCTTTGTATAACATCAGGTGGTGTCACCGTGAGGGGGTCACGAGGGTTTTAATTACTCAGATGGGAGTGGGTAGTTACCAGTTTCGCCACCAGGTGGCTGATTTGGGGGAAATAACATGGCAGTGTATTACAAAATTCCCTTAAACTTGAATATTCATCGGTTTTAGTGGTTCACTTTTCATACAACCCTTATGTATGTAATAGTTATACAAATTAAAATAATTGTCTAGTAAAAGAAAATGTTATCTGCCCAACACAAGAAAAGATATTTACATTTTTGTGATTTTACAACATGGGGTCTATGGGGAATCTCCTCGACCTGAGACTAACATAAACAGCCATCATTTTTATCATGGTCTCAGCCTCGACCTAGAAGTCACATTTTCAAAGAAAATTAAATTTTCAAAGTTGATAAACTCTTTTCAATACCACATTTCTAGGTGTAATTTTACATGTAGATTCCAAATATGACATCAGTTTGACTGAATTTGGAACTTTTAATGACTAAATCAAGATTATTCTTTGTTGCAAATGTATTTTATTTCTTGTGTGTCATCATCTTGTTGTAAGCACCCATCATTTATTTTTTCAGCAAATTAGCACATCAGGCCTGAACTACAAGAGCTTCCAGTTATTTGGCTTTGATTTCATGTTGGATTCCAATCTTAAGGTTTGGCTGTTGGAGATCAATGGTTCCCCTGCATCTGCCAGGTAAGATTTCTTATAAAGGGAGAATTTTTATTATTTTGGAGAATTGATTTTTTTCTCAATTTTTGCTCTATGAATCTTAAATAACTTCACCATTTTACATCATATCACTGATCTTCTGGTAGATGTTATTTTTGACATTGTTAGGAATATATTGATAGGACAATTTTCCAACATCAATAATGATTCGTTGCTACACCTCTTAAGCTAATTGAAGATATAATTTTTTCCAGTGCATTACTGTCAGATCTTGCTGAAGGCTTGATACAGACTGCTATAGATCCAATATTCCCTCCATCAGATCCACCATCAACTATTAACAATAATTTTGAAAAAATGTGAGATCTGAATTTTAATCCATCAAATTCGACGGGGCATTATATTGTGATACATTGGAAACTATGGAAAACAGTGATATAATGGTAAACAGTGATGTGTGTGGGAAAACAAATTCAGTATATTTGTATATATTGGAAAACCGTGTTATATGACAAAGTGCAGTGGAAAAAATAAATATGGAAAAACAGCGCGATATGCAAAGTTGTAAGATGTGGAAACTGTGATATATGGGAAAACTGTGATATGTGGAAAAACAGATGCCAATGACTGACTTAATGCTTTTGACATAACAAAATGTGTGGCATTAAATGATGTGTGATTTGGAAAGTATTACCTCATTTTCTTCTACTGTATCATTAGTTATTAACTTTTGAAAAAATTTACACCAATAATATATACAAATATATTTATTACAATGTATGAACAAAACAACTTTATTTTTGACTGTACATTTGACTGTAGCTATAGAGTCTCATAAATTGACATCTCTTAAAAACTGTACTACTTGCTTAAAATAAAGAACGTCTCATAAGTCATCATTGAGTGAAGCCCATTTTAAATGTATTTTTAGTATACAGGGTGGTCCAAAAAAAGTGAACCCCTGCAACAGGCTACATTTTTCTTAATACATGCATGAATTGGCTGATATTATCACATGTTGTAGAGAAAGGTCTAAAATTTTGGTTGATGCCATAATTTACTCTCAGTCTTAAATTTTGAAGAAATTACAAGCGTTTAACAAACATGCCTGGAAATTAGATATTGTACAAAATTTTACAAATGTGATTCACGGAAATTGTTGAAACACATTGGAAGATCTTAAACAGCTTTCAGTTAGAGATACAAGTTTAAAACCCTACCATATGACAAAGGGGACACTATTCAAGCAGAAAACACATTTCACACTTTCATTGATCATTTTGAAGCATTTTTAACTGTTCAACAGTTCAGGAGTATGTTACCTACACCAACAATTAGAGGAGGCCTCTTATGGAAGGAAGTTGCCCCCTGTGACCAGGAATCTGATAACCCCTTCATCAAATATCTTTAAAAAATCAAAAGAAAATCCAATGTTCAATGTTTTGAGCCATATATCATTAGAATTGGTCCATGATTTATGAAGATATTGACATTTCAAGATCATATAGGGGTATGTTCATGATTTCACTGGAAAATGTTTTCGTCTGTGGAAGCTTAGCATATCTCTTTGGATCACAATAACTTTGCAACTAACAAATGTAGGATGCTAGTTTTAAGCCATAATATGCAGGATTTAAAATTGAACAAAGTCCGAAAATATTAGTTCTTTAAGACTGCAGCTTAAAAAATTCTCAGGGGAAAGGTGTTAAAGGGTTGAAGAATCGCGGATGTTGAAAATCACAATTTGTCCATTTTCAGTAATATTTGGTTAGGGCTTATAATTTCTGCAAATTTCAAGACTAAGAAAAATGTATGGTACCAACATAAATTTTAGACTTTCCTCTACAACATGTGAAAATAAAAAAGAATTCCTGCAAGTAATAAGGGAAATATGGCCAGTTGCAGGGGTTCACTTTTCTGGACCACCCTGTACATGGATGAATCTGTGACATACATGTACATGTAATACACTCATGAAACTGAAACTAATTTATAAATGTTTTGTGTTTCGACTTTGCCCTCTCTGTGCTCTTCTTTTTTTTGTTTCTGTTCTTCCTGATGTAAGCCCAAGAACTGCTCATATTTACTTATATTCCACTTGGATAGGTGCTACTAGCTTTACACAGGTGGAATATTTGTTCAGAACTTGCAGGGCTATTAAGTTGGAAGTTTCCAGCCACACCATTTTCTTTACGAGAAGCTATGATTGCATCTTTGATGGCCATGAAGGCTGCTATTCCCATATGGATCGGAGGTTCACCTACTCCCTAAATTAGTATTAGAATATAAACATTTTTGATAACTATAGAAAACCAGCACAGCTGTATGTAAAGCATTCGTTCAAAGAAGTACGGTATTGAAGTGGACGGGTTGGAAGTTAGCTTTGAAAAAATATCACAGTAGTTTTTGTATCTCATGGCATGCCTATTTTCTAAATGCTCGACAGTTCTGAATGAATTATAGGAGACATTTGATTTTATGATTATCTGGCAAGAATGGAAAATGGGAATGCCCCTATTTTCAGTTTCAATGTTTACTTGATAATATATCTCAAAATCTTTTTTTATAAAGTAGGATTTTTATTACTTGTATACTGTATATGATAAGTTGTAAGGCATACATGTACGGTACCTTAGAGCCATATAGCACAGCTTCTTTACTGTCAGTGTTGAGAAGCTGTATGTTGAACTGTGTTGGGATGTCCCTTGAACCAGGAATGTGGTAGGAGAAAGTATCTTTGGACACAAGGAAACCATTCTCATCATATTCCAATTTCTCAGACACGAACAAACCAAAAGCCTTTAAAAAGAAAATATAAGGAGAAAGGTACATGTAACTCCCTCTTTGGAAGGAGGTAATGTTACAGTTATACCGTTTTTGTTTTACATGTATATTAATAATTTATTTCTATAACCCTGACAATGTGACAAAATGTTTTACTCAAGTGGTTCTAAATATTTAAAGCCAGAAATCATTTTCATCATCATTCACGTCAAAAAATACATGGTCAGCTACAACTACTGTACATGTAGGTACCGCCATGGGTTTCATCTCTTGAACGCCCATGGTACCACTCACAATAATATCTGACAACTCATTGCTTGGAAAAAATGTAGAGAAACATTGATTAAATATTTGAATTTCTAACTACTCACTGGTTGTCCTGTCATGGAGAATTGTCGAAAATGCAAAGCATCAAATGTGTTTTGATTGCTACATATTGAAGGTAATTTCATCATAAATGGATTAATATAGCGTGGTCCAAAAAATGAACTGTTGCAACAAGCTATATCTCAGTTATTACCCGTATCAATGGGCTAATATTCTGGCACGTTGTTAAGAGGAAAGTCTAAAGTTTTTCTGGGTGAAATAAAGGTCACTAATAACAAAGATATAACTTGATGCAAGGGTTCACCTTTTGGACCATCCTGTATTTATTACCATAACAAATGCGCCATCTATTTGTCCAATGTCTATTGCAGGATTTAAACTGCGTCCAAGATCCAATGTGGCATCTATTCGTAGAACCTGGAATATATCACTTTGCCATCAACAGCAGTGTGAGAAGAAAATACATTCATTTAATGTATTGGCCAGAATAGTCCCAAGAACATGCATACTTACTTGAGTCTTGGAGTCCAAACGGTAGAAAAGAGTAAGTCTTAGAATAAGCCGCGCAGAGGGAATGCAAAATTTAGGAAACAACATCTGAGTGGAATGAATTAAGCAGCCACAATGCACTGAGTCTTGGGCTTAAATTCCTTTCACACATTGCAAAACAGCCATCACCATGACAACTGTTTAACTACTGACCTTGAGTGGGTTATTGTTATTTCACACACTGTTCTATATGTGAAATACTGTGTTCGGATTGTCTGGAATCAGACACACATTGCCTTGGTACATGGATGTGTGAATTGTTCATATTCCATGCGTGGGTGCCACAGTTCAAGAATATCTTCCACCGCTTAAGGGGAGGTAACTTGGATTTTGGTTTTACAGATGCATGACCTTAAGATAACTGATATAATGCGGTGATTCCAGTTACCGTCCCTAAGCGGTGGAAGATATCCTTGAACTGTGGCGCCCACGCATGATATATGAACAAATGATCATATTCCAAAGTTCCCATGTCATATGAGTCTGATTTGGTTCAAATATCAAAGCATTACGTCAACTATAAAGTAGATAAATTCGATGAAAACTAAAAATATCAAAACCGACACTTCCCGTCTGCCATCGTTGATGCGAAGGTGACGGCCGTTACCTTCGCTTGATATTGACCAAGGATTGTGCTGTACAGAATATCATACATTGAAAACACGGGCTTTTAAGAGTGTGATATCACGAAACGTATGTCCTAAACCTCGACACTCGTCAAATGATCGTCCCTATCCTATAGCATGAAGCCACGTAATTGTCAGTAAACAACCGTACTATTCCAAGTTGTACTTTTAAACATATCGAATTCGAAGAAAGATGACTCAACTTGACATCTCCAGTTTTCTAGGTTATCATAACATAAACATGCTCCACTAATGCCTTGGTCACATAGGCTCCGATTTTCACTGCGGCGCCCGGCCGATGAGTATTTTGTTCAAAATCGGCCGGCGAACCCGGGCATCGTACGGGCGCCGGGCGATGATCGCCACTCATCGGCCGATTTTTAGACATCGTACGGGCGCCGGCAGAGTTTTATCGCGGAGATAAAAGTTGCCGATGTCTTGGCGATTTTTTCTCAACCAAACTCATCGGTACCTACCCGGCCGTGTCCCGCCCGATCATCGTACGATTATCTGGCGGCGCCCGGTGGCATCGTACGGTCATCTTGGGATTTTGCGTACTGATTTGTTTGATAAATCTTAATAATGATTACTTATAAAGTGATATAAAGGTTTTAAAAATAATGAGGTAACGAATTATAATTACTACACAGACATTTTTTATAAAACATAAATGGAACGATTAAGCTTACTGTAAAACAATGACACACATTTGAATGGTTGGGTGGGTGAGTTGATCTAGTCATTCTTACCTGTAGCTTTTATTGACATTAATCGTGTATGTCTGTCATACACTTTGAATAGAGTGATACATTTTTATCCGTATATTCACTCGTGCATATACCATTACAAATCATTTATTTTAAAAATTCTTCTTAATGTCTATCAAAGTATTTCGTTTTTAAATGTTGCATTCACGCCATGTGGAACAGTCATACTGGGTCATAAAGGGATTTAGTATAAATCTAGAAGCGGCCTGTAGATCGACCGATGTCCTGGCGGGTGCCGTAGGGCCATCGGCAGATAGCCTTGCGGTGCCCATGCGATGTCTTTCAGATTCAATTGATTGCGGGCGCCGTACGGTGCCTGTACTAATGTGACCATACCCACGATTAGATCAAGACATCGGTGAAAATTCACCGGCGCCCGGTCGATTTAGACATCGGCCGATGACTACTCATCGGCCGGCGCCCGGCGCCTATGTGACCCAGGCATAAACTCGTGAATTTTAGAAATGTTGTGGATGGAGGAGATGGATGTACAATATCAAGTACACATATTTCCTTCAATTGAAAATGAATATCGGGTTTGTTGTCTCCTTAGTTAGATACGTAAGTCACGGAAAATACAATACCAAAACATCGAAACATGATGAGCCTACACCTTTAACTACTTCAAATTTGACACCATGTTGATTATACAAGGGGCCAAGTAAATTTCAAGATATTGTGCAGTTTTCAAATCACGGGTGTCAGTAATAACAAGCGCGATTACTATTTGTCGACGATGTTGCTTCAGTTTGCATTGTTTGCTGCAACGCTATACCTTTACACTAATGCTGAACCAAACGATGTTCGGGATCCAAATGTAATCAATGCTAGGTACATTGTGACAAGAGGTGAACTAAATGAATTACTCGCGCAACTGAGAAAAGAAATGACTGCTAAATGCATGGAACAAAAATGTGAAAAGGGTGATCGCGGATACCCTGGCATTAAGGGACTTTCAGGATTGAAGGGTGATAGGGGTTTACCCGGTCTGGACGGTGCGCCCGGCGTTCCTGGAGCCAAGGGACAATGGGCGAGGGGTCCACCAGGTGACCGAGGATTGAAAGGTGAACGAGGAGCACCAGGACTTCCCGGTGGAATGAAAGGCGAACCCGGTATTCCGGGGTCAAAAGGTGATGTCGGTCGAAACGGTAAACGTGGTCGAAGAGGAAGAAAAGGAGCAAAAGGTGAAAGTGGTGATAACAGCTTGGGAACACAGTGCTCAAAAGGCGAACGCGGATTCGATGGAGTGCCAGGAACAAAAGGATCAAAGGGCGATATGGGCCCAGCTGGAATTGATGGTCTTCCGGGATATTTTGATTTCAAAGGGTCAAAGGGTGATCCGGGAAGTCCTGGTCTACCAGGGGCATGCAGACAATGTTAGTATTTTAGTGCTAAATACTTCACCTACATGTAATTACGATAGCCCCCGAACACACGTTGCGCGACTATATATAAACTTATTCTTGATTCAATAGACACATATACGTATTCGTCATATTCTCCAGCATAACAACAAGGCCTTTTGACAGATGATTGATATTTGATCAGAGAGATACATAATTTCACAATCCAAAGTTAACGAAACGACTTTCACTTGTTTGAAACCCCGAACGAGGTCCATGCATAAGGAGATTTTACGGCGTGACATTCAAACGAGACTTCTTTGCAGAGAAGTAGTGAACATTGCTAAATATATTATTGATCTTTAAAGGATATTTAGGCAAGAAATGATTATTTCTACGTTTACAATTACAAATTCAGTGTCAAATTATACTTTGGGGAAATAGTGGTCAATAAGTGAAGTGCAGTGACTGCATTATGCTACAAAATGCGTAAAAATTCTGTTTTCAGTAAAATTAATGAACAGATATTTGATATTTGAAATTAGTGTGTCACAGAACGCAATTGACGCAATTAACATGTTAGACTGTAAAATTCGAATCACCAAACAAATTTGGAAGAAGCTTTTTTTCACGGAAATTTCAGCAGCACAAACGCAGAGAACGTTTGTAAGACCAATAATATACAATGGTCTAGAACTGTTTAGATCGTATGATTTGATGTCTTTAAGTTCAAATGTATGGTGGTGTGTTGACAGAAAATTTCCAATTGTCCTCGGCGGCTTTAAAATTGTGGTTAAATTAGTAACAGATGAGCATTCTCTTCAGCGCAAAATACGGGGTGGGGACAATAAAACAAATTCATGTAACATGTGTAGCACGTTTCAACAGGAAAATGTCAACCATTTTCTATTCACTTGCCCAGCAAATGGCCATGCCCCGTTGCTTTGGTCACATATGCTCCGATCCATCGGCCGGCGCCCGGCCGATTGAGTGTTTTGTTCAATATTGTTTTCCATTTTGAACAAAATACTCAATCGGCCGGGCGCCGTAGTGAAAATCAGAGCAAATGTGACCAAGGCATAAGAGAGCACTGCCAAGATTGGCATACAAATGGATATTACCAATATTCTAGGCATTAACTGTAGAAACTACTCACAAACGTTAAACCTTTAGAAAGGTATCTCGCAAATAGTGCAAGAACGATATCATTATCGTATATCGGTAGTTGCACGGTCAACGCAGTAGCCTGACGTTTTGCAACAAATGTTTACTATGTTGTATTATGTGTTAATATTGTATAACTTATATTTATAATACAAGAGACTTACATTAGAAGTAAGAATGTTTAAATTGATAGTAATGCAGTATATTGCTGCACCATCAAGCTTAAATCTAGATAACTTGCATATTTATATCAACATCCTCCGATCACAGGGCTTCAAAATCCAGAATATATTCTTTCTTTTTACGGAGGTACGGATTCTTGACACCTGCTTAGGAGGATGTTATATCAAAGAATAACATTTTGACCGAGTCAATGAGTCAACGTGAACCCCAAGGGCCAACTACCCGATTCATAGATACCCTTTGCATTCGTTTTACTTCACTTCTTAAAAGAGAGCTTCGTGTAGTTTAACTAGACTCTGCACGCAGGGTACCAGATTCATTGATTTATTACTTATAAGTATGGTATTGGAGTGTTAGCGGTCACAGATTGACGACGTCAACGCGGTAGCCTGGCGTCGGTCAACTCAGTGGAGGGAGTTAGTTGTCTGTTTGTAAATGTATATATTTTATTTTTTCCTTAGTTCGTGTAAGCAAAGGGGTGTTGTCTGCTTGTATAGTTACTTTTTCTTTAATTCATGTAATATGTATATACATTGTATAAATGTATCTCCTTTTTCATAAAGGGCAATAAAGATATACATACATACATACAATAGAGCAACGCAGCACCAAAGCCAGCATAGCTCAACCTGACTTACAACCACCAAAACACAACCAGCTGTCAAATTAACACAATATGTCACAACCCAATGATAAAACAACAAAGGCAAACATAACCAATTGTTGAATTAACTAAACACAACCGTGCACAACCCAACACTAAACAGTTAAAACACAATCAGGCACAACCAATAAAACACAACTAAACTAACAACCACGAAAACACAACGAACTGTGATATTATCACCACAGAATTTTATACACAACAAAATGATAAACCAACAAAAGTAAACATAACCCATTGTTAATGTAATACAACACAATTTTCCAAAACCCAAAACCAAACAATCAAAACAAAACCAGGCTCAAGCAATAAAACACAATCCGGTTATACCAATAAACACAACTAACTTACTCCAATTGGAGACAACGCCATTCACACAACTCATCTACATATCTCAGTATGTCTAGGGTTATTTTAAGTATGGTCATTGTGAGTCTTGTTATGAATAATTGAAAGTTTAAGCTAGCGATATTTTTCACAACGTAACCTTGAACGCAAAGCCAATTATATAGTAACAGAGTAATGTATATAGCGCGCATACAAAACAAGCGCTACTACCCTACTATCACACCAAACTAGTTCTCACTACGTTCTCGAAACGGGCTTAAACTGTGCACGAACGGATTTGACGTACTAAGAACCCACTAAGAACCGTTTGGGATCTGTTTACAAACTTCATGAAACTACTAGAACTGAGTAGGTCCTCCAGCACTTAGAGCATGCTCAACATTTTCTGGTGATCATCTAAACGTTGGCGAATCGGTTTTAAACTCTGTGCGAACTGAATGAACGTAGCTACAACGTTCTACGGTCTGTTTACGAACTTCATGGACTTTCCCGGACGGGGTATGTGATTTAGAATTTTGAATCGATTCAAAATTCGATGGCGACCATACCGTCCTGTAATCAGGTCATGATGACCTTCTAGACTAAGGGACGGTTTATACTACGTTGCACACCGACGTGGTGCGACCTGAACGAACTTCGAACGTGATGGACGAATTGAAGACTGTTTATGAACGAAGTAGCTAATTATTTTAGACATATATCCCGACCGCAGCCAGATCGAGCCCGTTTTACGACATTTTCGTAGGACTGGCAAGAACGGGTAAGAACTAGTTTGGTGTGATAGGGGGGTTAGTATACTTCAGATACCCATCAGCTTCAAAGCTGTGTTTAGAACGGGAGATTTGTTATTTCACGTTGGTGGGAACGGGAATCATTATACTCATGACTTTTGAATACAATGCTGGCAATTTTGATTTCCATGCACACTATAATGCTTTCTGAAGAAAATGATGTGTGACATACATGTTTAAGCTCCAAATATCTTACTAAACGAGCTTGTTTGAAAAAGGTATCATAGAAAACTACTATCATATGCCGATACTATCAATGGCCTATTACACGATGATGTGTAGTCTATGCAACGGACTAAGGAAACACTAACTGAACGATTGTTCATGTGAGAAAACTACATGCATTTGTAAAGTACAACTTTTGCGTACAGGTACAAGTTTCAATTCTATACGCATTGCTTAAAGTCTCAATTAATAAGTGAACGCCAACATAGTTCAAATATCTCATATGTTAAAAAGTTTAAACAATAGAGCATGCTTTTGCCTACTTAGTTTATTGAGGTCATTGACAAATTGCAAAAACCAGTTGTAATTATGAGAATTCATAATTAATAACGTAACTTACTCTATTAGCTCCTGTAAGACAATCAACTTCAACCTCAGCAACAGTTGCGCCACACACAAAATATTGGTGCCCCTTTCCACCATCATATGGATTATTAAAATTCTGGTAATATTCCGGTCCGCGATCATAGAATCCAGCAGCCGAGAGACTAGTGGAGTCCAGATACGCATCCATCACCTAAAAATATCAGCATGCATGCTTAAATGACCGTGTGTACAGTAGCACTAAATGCGACTGGACGCATATACGAAATGTATGGTTGTAGAAACTTTATGCTAATTCCTAATAGAGAAATCATGTTCTTTTGTTGATATCATCTGGTATATAAGGTATTCGTCAATCACAAAGATTGCGCTATTCCATCCATTGGCTTGTTTTATGAACTTTATTTTCAACAGATACATGTTAGTTGACACTATCCTTCAATACAAAGGTTGGTTATAACAGGTGAAAAACATGTATCACGGTGATGAGCAGAGATAACATCCCAAAAAAGATTTTGAAGCATTTACCCATTTCTCCCATGGTTTGTCAAGATTTATTTGTTTATAAGGTTTCAATCGAACGACCAACTTTTCGCAGGCATCCTGGAAAATAGAAAATAGAAAATTATATATACATACATGCACAAAACATTTCTACATTAAAGTCATTCTTCATATTGCCACGGACAATTCTTATTATTTAGTTATGTGATCTAAGACACTTGGTTCGTTGTCCCTTGGTCTATGTGTACATACACGTGATACTTGAGACCATACCAAAGAGATGTGGTCCATGAGTAGCTGCTTTAGCAAGAGCATTTGGAGCACAATTGATTCAATATACTATTACTCACTTTGACAGCCATACCAAAGAGATCCGATCCATGACTAGCTGCTGTAGCAAGAGCATTTGGAACACAATTCATACAATATACTATTACTCACTTTGACAGCCATACCAAAGAGATCCGATGCATGACTAGCTGCTGTAGCAAGAGCATTTGGAACACAATTCATGCAATATGCTATTACTCACTTTGACAGCCATACCAAAGAGATCCGATCCATGAATAGCTGCTGTAGCAAGAGCATTTGGAACACAATTCATGCAATATACTATTACTCACTTTGACAGCCATACCAAAGAGATCAGATCCATGACTGGCTACTGTAGCAAGAGCGTTTGGAATACAATTTGTATTTGTTTCAAGAATGTGGATCCTTTCGCAGGGAACCTGAAGCACCTTGCTAGCTACCTGAAAAATTCAACTCATTGATGTTAATGAATATTGCCATTGTTTTCTGTAACTATTTCTTAGGTGCATCAATTGATCAGTCGAATTTATA